TACATGCAGATTCTGTATTGTTGCCTCCAGGACCTAAGGATTCGGAGATTCTTGCATATACTTCTGGATCACAAACTCTAAAAACCAGCTCCGATTACCATGCCATGCTGTTTGAACCCAGTCAAAATAGAATGCTTATTGAAACTAGTTCAAGTTTGACAGTTGCACAAATGCAGAAATTCACAATTCGAGAAATATCTCCTAACTGGGGTTATGCCAGTGAGTTGACAAAGGTGACTCAAGGAATATGCCCTCTTATGTGTGTTTTGAAGATTTTAATGCTTCATGGTTGTGTTGTAGCAAATCTCCAGGAACTTATTTTTCTTTCTCACTGTAGTTGGAGTTCTTGCTATGAACTAAGTTACTATTCCCGTATTTGGTTCAATTCTTATTCCTTTCCTTGAATTGTTCGTATTCCATTTGTTAATTTCCACTTTTAATTTTATCAATAACCTTGATATATGTGTTAGTACAACATGACTTATTTAAACATTTGAGCTAGTCTCACCCCACCTTAATTTTTAGAAGTGGTTCTTTATTTTCCACTTTTAAAGTAGGAACTGAAATCCCACTCCTAGAAATTCAAGATAGGATTGGGTAGTTCAAACGTAATTTTTCTTTTTTTTCGTGATCATACAAAAGGTTAAATTGAAAATGAATATTAAATAAGGAACACAATAAGCATTGCAAATTAAATGAGACTTGGGCACATTTTAATGGGTCTCATTAAGCTTGTCTTCTCCTGTCAAACTCAGTTTTGAGCTCTGACACCCAAGGTTCTGGATGCAGGTGATTATTGTTGGATCGTTTCTCTGCAATCCATCGGAATCTACATGGGCATGCATGTTTGGGGATACTGAAGTTCCTCTCCAGATCATTCAGGAAGGGGTCATCTGTTGTGAAGCTCCTCCTCACCTTCCTGGAAAGGTGACTCTCTGCATTACTACTGCAAATCGGGAGTCTTGTAGTGAAATTAGAGAATTTGAATATAGAGATAAAACTAGTAACTGTAGTTTTTGCAATTTGTATGAGATGGAAGTGCCTAAAAGTCCAGATGAGCTATTGTTGCTTGTCAGATTTGTGCAAATGCTTCTATCTGATTCAGAGTCACAGAAAGGAGAGAGCATGGAATCAGGCATTCATTTATCAAGGAAATCGAAACCTAATGAGGACTCATGGAGTCAAGTCATAGAGGCCCTTTTGTTTGGCAGTGGGTCTCCTTCTGGTACTATTGATTGGCTTCTGCAAGAACTTCTAAAAGACAAGTTGCACCAGTGGCTATCTTCCAAATCCCAGGATGGACATGATCTGACTGGCTGTTCCTTATCCAAGAAAGAGCAAGGTATAATTCACATGGTTGCCGGTTTGGGCTTTGAGTGGGCCTTAAATTCAATTCTCAGTCATAGCGTCAGCATCAATTTCCGTGACATTAACGGATGGACTGCTCTTCATTGGGCTGCACGTTTTGGAAGGTAAATGAAATTTTTTTATTTTTCTTTCCTCTTTCTCTTATTTTCTCATTTTATTTGTGGCAAAAGGTTTTAACATTGCAGTAGAAGACAAGGATCTTTTTGGAATCCTCATAAAATGTAAAAAAAAATTGTTGCATATTAAAAGAACAATCTGGGAAGGACCAGCAAAGCATAAAATCTATCTGAGATAGTACTGCACAAGTACATGTTCACACATTTAAACCAATGAGGTGCACCAGGAAGCGGTCAGTGGAGAACCAGAAGATTAGAAAAGATTGCTCAAATTTACTAACACTTTCACTGCTAATTTTCACATGGTAGGATTGCCTCATTTTTTGGTGATCGGCTGCTTAGCTTGGTTTGCATGGATCATTTCTGTGGTTTATCACTAAGATTATGTATGGACATTAAGTTAAAATTTATGGTCACTTTAATTCATATGTTTTGGTTATTGTTCATGCATGAAGGTTTATGGGTGAATGTCCTTATTCCTCTTTTCCTGCTTCCAATTTTTTCTTTTGGCTTTAGCTGAGGCTTTGCTCTTATTTTGTGACAGGGAAAAAATGGTTGCTGCGCTTCTAGCTTCTGGTGCATCAGCTGGGGCCGTCACGGATCCGAATTCAAAAGATCCAACTGGTAAAACACCAGCATCCGTAGCAGCATCATGTGGGCACAAGGGACTTGCAGGTTATCTTTCGGAAGTGGCATTGACAAGCCATCTTTCGTCTCTCAAACTAGAAGAAAGTGAACTTTCTAAAGGCTCTGCTGAGGTACAAGCAGAAATAACAGTCAATAGCATATCAAAGCGGAGCCTCGGTAATTGTGGGGATCAGCTTTCTCTCAAGGATACTCTAGCTGCAGTACGGAATGCAGCTCAGGCTGCTGCACGTATACAATCTGCATTTCGTGCACATTCCTTCAGAAGGCGACAACAAAGAGAAGCTGCTATTTCTGATGCTAGAATAGACGGATATCTTCTTAATTCGGATGATATTAAAGGGCTTTCAGCCATGTCGAAACTGGCTTTTGGGACTGCTCGTGATAGCAATTTAGCTGCTTTATCTATTCAGAAGAAATATCGAGGCTGGAAAGGTCGCAAAGAGTTTCTAGCACTACGTCAAAAAGTCGTGAAGATACAGGTGCTGCCTTTTCGGCTGAAATTTTTAATTTTTTACCTGATATAAATTAACCAAATAAAACCAAATAGAAATATCATTCTTTTGGTATCTTGCCTTGTTTACAGTTTCTGCTTCATGAAAACTGAGTCTGAAATATTGGAATCTTTCTCGTATGCTTCAGTTAGTATCAGAGACTGCCTCTGTTCTAAAATTTTTCTCTGTACTTGTTCGGCAGGCTCATGTGCGAGGTTACCAGATTAGGAAGTACTACAAGGTTATTTGGGCAGTTGGAATTTTAGAGAAAGTTGTACTTAGGTGGCGACGGAAAGGAGTTGGTTTGCGAGGATACAGACATGAAATGGAATCCATCAATGAAACTGAGGATGAAGACATTCTGAAGGTGTTCCGCAGGCAGAAAGTGGATGTAGAACTTCAGGAGGCTGTCTCGCGTGTGCTGTCCATGGTTGATTCCGAAGATGCACGTCAGCAATATCGCAGAATGCTTGACAAGTACCACCAAGCCAAGGTAAATAAATTACATTAGCTGGATTATACAACAAGAACTACCTATAAACAGAGTTTTCAACATGGACAACCTTAACCATCTTATTATTGACTCCAACTTCTCTCTTTCAAGACTCTCCAATTCTTCACTGAATTTTATTGTTCACGCTTCTGTTTTCAACTATTGGGCAGGCTGAGCTTGATGACACAGGTGAAGCATTCCCATCGATTGCAGTATCTGATATCGAAAAGAACAATTACCATGACTTTCTGTAGAAGGTACATAAAAGCAAGCTAACTTGGTTAAACTCACAGCTAGATGGCTTTCAGATTTTAGTTTGTGCATAATGGTTTGCATTACAGATTAGCCAATAGTGATCTGAGTCAGATTAGAGAATAGTCAGATAGATTTATAAATATATGAATGCGTTTTTGTAATTGCTGTAAATGATATAGAATTATAAAATGTCGTTGCAGTAGGACGATTTCCGTGTACAGCTTGCTCTTTTCAACTATTTGATGTTAGGTTTCCTTTGGTGCCAATAGTTGCTTATGCTCTAAGCTAGATTTCAATAAAAATAGTTTTAAAATAAAATAGCTGTACGGTAATAAAATTTTATAAAAAAAATTTCAATTTGGTGGTATATTTAATTAACTATTTTTGAAAATTAATGATAAATGTTGAGATCATAAAAAATTTAATAATAATAATTATTATTATTATTATAATTATTTAAATAATATTTTTCCAAAAATTCTAATAATTTAAATTATTTTTGAACATTTGTTTTAATTTAATTATTTTATTAATTTTATTTAATAATTTATAACTTATTTTCTGACAGTATGGTGTAAAGAAATTTCTTGAGAAAACAACTAAGCATTGATAAGATCAACGAAGTTTCACAGTATAAGCAACCCTCACTCAAACATTGAAATTTTTTTATCATCACATTTCATCATGTTGACATCCTTTTTGCATATAAAAGAGAAAAAAAAAATATTAGACCCCACAATATATTTCTTAGTTGTTGGAACGAACAAAGAAATTTCTCAACTTTTATCAATACATTTTAAGAAATTTTTTTACAGTTAATTTAATTTATAGAAATCATAGAAATAGCTTGATTTCTAGTTTGAATACAACAAAGTAATTTTATTAAGCATAGTTGTAATATCTTTAATTAATTTTAAAATTTTAAAATTAATATATAAAATATAATTTTTTAATTTATTAATTTTATTTAATAAAAAAATTAATAAAAATAAGTAAAAGATGAAATTAAAAATAATTTTCAGAAAAAATGTTGAAAATTTGAGTTATGGAGATGTTTTTAAAAGAAAAATAAAAAATTGGGGGTTAAAACATAATTTAGAAAAAATGTGCCACGTAGAATCGTTCAGTTAGTAATCCCAATGAACCAGAGTGTACCGCGTGGCAATGCACGTTGACGCAGTGCCACATGGGAGGCCATGCTGACAATTCGCGTGCTCGCGATCGAACGATCTGAAATTATTCCTGCGTGCGTTGACGGCTCGGATCTGTTTCCTCCTCAAGCACGATCGTACAGTCCAGATCAAATCGCGATGAATAGTTCAGATTCACTTCCTATTTAAACGCAATCGGACGGTCGAGATCAAACGCAATGGACGACTCAAATTAAAGAGAAACAGATATAAATATCTCATTTCACACCGAATCCTAACCCTAACCGTCAGCCCCTTGTTAGAGAAAAAAATCAGTCACCGGAAGAGAGAGCCGACTGCCACTTGCCGCCGTGCCGAAGCCACCTTCAATCGCTAAAAGAGGTAAAAAGAATTTAATTCGCTCGAAATTTGATTTTGAATACCTTTATGGCCAAATCGGAGGAAAAGGACTAGCGGATAATATAACACCCAAAATTTTTCTTTATTATTTCGTTATTTATTTTTATTTTATTTCAATTTTTATTAGAATTTGTGTTTAATTTTATTCTATTTTAATTTTTTATTTATAAGATTTTAATTTAATTTAATTTAATTTTAAACAAAATAATAATAATAATAATAAAATGGGGTAAAATTATTTTTAGAATTTAATTGAAATTGATTTTGGAAAAAATAGTGAAAATTTAGATTATATAGGTGTTTTTGAAAAGAAAATCAAAAATCAGGGGTCAAAACGTAATTTAAAAAAATAGTGTCACGTCAGCAGCCACAGCAGCCCCGGCCAACTAGGACACGCTGCGTGGTAGGGATACTGATGCGGGAAGCAACGCAGGACAGGGACATGTTGGCGATCCGCGTGCGCGCGATCGGACGGCCCAAATCTGTTCCCGCGCGCACGGACGGCCCAGATTTGATCAAGTACGGATGACCCAGATCACATCACGATGAACGACCCATATTTATTTCTAATTTAATCGCGATCGGACGGTCCATATTAAATTATGATGGATGGCTCAGATTAAAAGGGGAGGATTATAAATAATCGCATCCACACCCAACCCCAAACCCTAGCCGCCAGAACCCTCGCCGGAGAAGACGACCCAGCCACCGGAGGAACCGGCTGCCGCCACCCGCCGCCGCACTGGAGGACTTTTCGGCCGCCAAACGAGGTAAAATTTCTCCTCTTGACTCGTTTTTCAATGTCGAACCTCCCTGTGGCCAAATCGGAGCCAAACCACTAGCTGATTGGCCAGAAAACACCGCCAAAGTCCAACGGCGGTGCTGCGGGTTTTCTCAATTTTTGCCTCTGATAAGACCCTTCCCGTTTCCCATTCGATATAATTTTTATACCACTGTGACCACCGTCCTTTTTTCTACAGGTTGACTGGAGCAAAACACCGAATCGCAACTCGCGTCGGAGGAGTCGCTGCACCCGAGAGCTTCGCCGCTGGTAAGTCTCGGTTTTCTAAAAATTTTAACCCACCGAGGGCCCTAGGGGTGTTTTATCACAGGAACCAATGCAAGTTTGCTCGAATTCAGCTGAAAATGGTTGGAAACGGCCAACCTGATGCGGATCGCCGCCGTGGGCGACGGCACCATCGCTGGAGCACGATAGAGCCGCCGTGCCGGAATTCCAATATTGGCTGAAAGGGCCCTGGGTCTAATTTGGAGTTCTTTGGGGACACGTGCAGGTACTGGAAGTGTGTTTCAGTTTTCGGAAAAAAATTCAGGGAATCTAGGTACTGCCCGTAGGCGCAGTGAGAACCTGATTTCAGACTCCAAAACAAGTAAGGATCTCTCACCATATTTCCTATCATGGCATTAAAGCCTATAAATGATAAACGGGTATTTTATGAATTAATAGATATGTATAATTGATTAAGGTTGCTAATAGAGCCCGAATCTGATAAATTTTTGGTCAGGTGTTGTTTGATTTATTTTACAGTTTTGAATGCAATATGGTGCCTGATGTGTTTATTCTATGGTTTCATATTCATGAATCACGGTTTCATTTATTATGCTTTGAATTATTGTGAACCCGATGTTGTGTTGCCTTGTTTGGTATCCATTACTGGTTTACGTATTTTGTGTTTGATTGGATAATTGAGATTAAGAAAAATGGTAAAAATGTATGTGAATTGATAATGGATAATGTCTATAGCCTCATTAGATATCTTGGGAGATGGTAGACGGACCGAGTCCATAGGGAACCTTATCGGGAACGTGATCTCTCATATCGGACGGGGTATGGAGACCTTATGTGTTTTGGCGCCCATACCGGACGGGGTATGGGGACAGCCCGTTTCACCCTCATATCGGACGGGGTATTGAGGTTTATGGTTTTGGTACCCATACCGGACGGGGTATGGAGATGGTCCTAAAATTAAGTTATTAATGTGAATGGTTCACGTGTAGCGGGGACCTCCTATGGACCCCCATGGATACTAGTAGGCTGAATAAAAGGGGATAATTGTTGCCTAATGATTGAAATACAAAAGCATGATATATGTTATGTTGCAGAGTGTGCGTGATCTTATGATATTTATGATGTAATTGTTTTCATAAATTGTTTTCATGAATCTCACTGAGGTAGGTGGACAGTAAAGGGTTTTATTATTGATATATGAGTTTGTATAAATTATGCTCCATTGGTCGTTTTCGTTTTCTACCAACCTTTACTTCTGTGACAGTGAGATAGTGTGATATCTTTATTGGGTTAGTGTAGCTCATTCCTTACTTAACCATTTCAGATCAGAAGGATTTGGTTCCCGAGCCCGTCCTGTAGGAAGACGGCGAATAGAAGCCAAAGAATTTATTAGTTTTCCTTACAGTATTCTTTCATAGTATTTCCTTTAAGTTAGTTTATTCTTTCATACTTTAATTCGTTTTGGTTATTGTATAAAAGATGTTAATTATAATCTATTTTATTTAGCTTCCGCACTTAGAATAAATATATACACATTTTCTTTTAATTTCTGTGGTCATTATAGATAAGCCGGAAACTGTGGGTAAAGCCTGGCGGCACCGCCGCAAAAAAAATAAAAAATCGCCTCCGATGTGACCCTTTCCACATGCAATTTTTCCACAATTGTATTTACCATTTTTTTTCCACAGGTTGACTGAAAAAAAACGTCTAACCGCAAAGGTGAGCCGGCGGAGCTGTCGCATCGAAAAACTCCGCCGCTGGTAAGGTTCTGTTTTTCGACTTTTTCAGCCAATCAAGGCCCCTTAACATATTTTTTCGTAGAGATAAGTACAAAACCGGCTAAAATCGGTTAAAATTGGTCGAAAATGGCTTGCCCGAGGTAGACCGTCACCGTGGGCGGCGGTGCCGTCGCTGGAGCACGGCGGTGCTACCGTGCTGGAATTTTGAAATTGGTGGGGAGAGAATTTTAACATCAGTTTTGGATTTTTTGAAGTATTTCTAGCTACTTGGAGAGTGTTTTAATCTCCGAAGAAAAACTCAAGGAACCTAAGAAACCGCTAGTAGGTATATCTAAAAGTTTAGCGATACGACACTGATTCGAGTAAAAATCTCTCACTATATTCCTTATTATGGAATTGAAGTTTAATTATAAATGTAGTATTTGTACAATCTAAAAGATCTCGATAATTAATCATAGGCTACTAATGGAAGCGGAACCGGTTATTATTTACTATTAATCCTATTTGATTGATTTTACTGTTTTAAATGTATAATATTACACTAGAATTGGTATGATGATTCAGTTGCACTTTCTTGATGTATGTATTGTTTTGCATAATTTACAGTGAAATTGTGAACTGAAAATTAAATATAAACGGAAAATTGTTTGATTAAGTAAGTGAATGAATGATAGCCTTACTAGATATCTTGAGAGATGGTGGACGGACCGAAAACATAGGGAACCCTACCGTGAACATTACCTCATATAGGATAGGGTATCGAGAATTGGTATTTTAGTGCTTAAACCGGACGGGGTATGAGGACGACCCGTTTCACCCTCATGCTGGACAAGATATTGAGAGATGGTATTTTTAGTGCTCATACCGAACGAAGAATGGGGATAACTGGTTAATTAACAATATT